AAATTTTTTGTTTATTTAAGGGTCTGGTTGATCTGTTGAACCGTTAACATGTAATTTAAGGGTCTCTATCAAACTTTTGGTTTGATTTGCCAAATTTGATTTAAACTTTAATATTGATATGGATTGGTTAGATATAAAAATCTTGAATGTGATATTTAATATTTATTTTTTATTGCACCAATTAATTTTTTTCTATTAAATTGATTTTTTTTGCATTGGTAAAAAATAATTTTTATTGTGGTAATTTGGATTTTTTTAAATGTTCAATTTGATATTTGAATTAAAAAAAAAACGTGATTTGAAATGAAATATAGATTTTATTGCATTAATTTTTGAAAAAAAAACAAATTTTAGTTATTTTTTATAATTATTTTGCAAGTTGGTTCCCCAAAATGACGATTTTGAAAGTTGGTTCCTCAAAATAGGAATCAAGTGCAAGTTGGTTCTCCAAAATGACGATTTTAAAATTTTGTTCCCCAAAATAGGAATTAGGTGAAAGTTGGTTATATTTTTGGTGCAATTTTCCCTATTTTTAATGATTAAGTTTTTGAATTACATTTTTAAATGAAGAAACTATTGAACTTTCTTGTTTTAAATAATTAATTTTCTTCGTTTTTTCTGAACAAATAAAACATCCAACTTTTAACAATTGGTTACATACATCAGAACAAGTTACATGTAAGTATGTAAGTGACTAATGGGTCGTTTTACCTAAACACTTAGCCGGTAAGCGTTTAACTGTAAAATTCAACTATGTCGTTTACTTATGTGGTAAGATTTTAGTCTTTCAAAATAACATCGTATGTAAGAATTTACATGGTAAGCCCTAACCGTGGTAAGAGCCGTTGTATTCACTTACCGGGTAAGACTATCTGTCTCTGCTGTCGCTCTTACTAGGTAAAATTATTGGTCATTATCATATTCATGCAATAAGAAAATGTGACTTCGTAAACACTTACTTGAGTAAACATTTGGTAAACGGCCCATAAGAAGATTTGAAAGTTACATGTTGCATGTGCTATTCAAACTCTTCTCGGTGTCACTTATTGTCGTTGACTCCTGTCATCAAGCACATACATACACACACACACACACACACACACATATATATATATATATATATATATATCACACAAGATGGAGATAGAAAAAAGCAATAAATAATAGGGAGATAAGCAGTAACAGAGAGTGGATGACGAGGGGTTTGCATGACGTAAGGTTTATGAATAATAAAACTAATGTACGTTTTTACTTAAAATTTTAATAGATGTTTTCAGGTAGCCTTTTGGGTTAGCAATCAATTTTTAAAAATTTGATGATTTATTTATTAAAAAAGTCTAGAGTAGTCCAGTGTCTTAATTATTTAAAATGAGAAAGTTCAATGATTTTTTCATTCTTATGATTCACAATTCATCGTTGTTTCGTTCCCATAACTTACAGTTCTTTACTCTTTCGGTCTTTTATACTTAGAAATTAGTTTAAAGATAAAAAAAAATTATAAATTATATGAAAAAAAATCATAATTTATAAAAATAAAAAATGAAAGTTATTTAAATAAGTTGTGATTAAGAGATGATAAGAATGATTGAGGTGATGTCCATGTCTCCATGCAAGTGGTATGATGACGACATTTTTTGGCCTTTTTATTTCCTTTTAGATAACATAAATAACATCATTTTAAATAATATCTTTCTAACTTTCAATATTATTATTATAATTGCATTTCAAAGTCTAAACACTTATGGAATAAAATATCATATGTTTTTTTTATATATATACATATATACATCTTGATTTTAATGTTTCGTTTTATTATGTTATATGTTGATGTTATAACACTGTTTTATGTGATTTTAAGAAAAACGATAATGTTTTTATTTAAATAAAATATAAATATGAAGATATCTTAAAATATTAAAAAAATATCGATATTCGTATGAAATTAACTATTTAAAAGTTCTTGTTTTGTTGTGTAATTTCTTTAATTCAATTTTTTTTTATAATTTAATTTATGTTTAATAACGAAATAATTTTTTTTTAATTTAAGAATATAATCTTTTATAAAAATAATAATTAAGTATTATGTCAATCCATAGTGATTATCTTAATTATATTTTAGATTTTTTATATTTAAAATGAAATGTTTATTCAATATTTGATTATGTTTAAATGCATTTAGTTATACGAATTTAAACATAGAACTTTAATAAGTTATATTTATGCATTATTTATTTATAATCTTGAATTTTAAGTAGCATGCATCAATAAACAATACTTTATGCATAAAAATTAGTTTTTAAGAATTATTGTCAAATGCTTTATAATATAATACATTTATACACAAGGGGCATAAAAATACTTTATGCATAAAAATTAGTTTTTAAGAATTATTGGTGGGTGAACAATCCAACACTTGGTGAATTCTATTATAGATAATACATTTATACACAAGGGGCTTTCATTAATTTTGGGTTTACATAACACACTTTGCACGTGTTAAAGCAAATACCGCACGGACTGACATCTTTATTAATAAAAAAAAAAACATTGATTTCTATGTACTACATTACATTACTTGTTAATTTTTAAAAAGTAATAAAAAAGCCAACATAATTTTTAATAATACACGTCCCCATATATATATATATATATATATATATATATATATTGGTTATTATACAACTCTTGACATTTGTACAACCAATACAACTCAATCTCAACCGTCCATTTCATTTGATTAATATGTGATTTCATAGAAGTTTTGATTGTTTCATAATATATATTCATCTTTCATAGAAGTTTTGATCATAATTAATGAACCATATTCATCTTTCATAAATATCTCAATTTATTGGGTTCCATTGGTTGTACAAATACGATGGGTTGTATTTGAAACAAACTATATATATATATATATAGAGAGAGAGAGAGAGAGAGAGATGTTATTCTACACCCTTTGTCATTCCTACACCCTATACAACTCTCATCTCAACCATTCAATTTTTAATCAATTAATTGTTTCCTAATATAAAATATTAATCATAATTAATAAACTCTATTCATATTCCATAAATATTCAAATCATAATAAATTAACTTAAATCATTTCTATAAATATCTTAATTAATTGGGTTGCAAAGGTTGTACAAATGCACAATGTTGTAAAAGAAATATACCCTATATATATATATATATATTGATTGAATTAAAATTTTAATGCAAGGATATTTTTAGTATTTTACAACTTTCCTCCCTCCTCTCTTCTCTCTCCGGCCACCGTTCGCCGGCCACCGTCCTCCGGTGATACTACAATGGTATCACAATGCATCATATATGTGCTTGGGTATCACATTGATGTCGTTTGTGTGGTCGATCGAAGATGTAACACAGTGGTATCACTATGCATCTTATATGTGATTATGTATCACAATGTATCTTTTGTTTAACATAGTCAATATTTTTAGGTATCATAGTGGTATCACCGGAGGACGGTGACCGGAGGCCGGAGAACGGTGGCCGGAGAGAGAAGAGAGAAGAGAGGAGAGTTTTAAAATACCAAAAATATCTTTGCATTAAGATTTTAATTTAAAATTACCAAATTTATAAATTTCCTAATTTATCTATTGATTTGTGGTTGAGATTGGATCTCACGGTTACCACAAACAATTTAGTTCTCATTTGATTAAGCCCCTATATATATATATATATATATGTATATGTATGTGTGTGTGTGAGTTAAGATTATTTGAAAATATTAACTATACAAACCATTTAAATTAATCACAAGCATTTGTTAATTTAGTTTCCTCTATCACCATACAATTAATATTGATGAGACAATGATAATCTTTTTTTCGTCTTAATTCACATTCATTAATGGACGGTTATAAATACACCAACCCCACATTCATAGCTAAAATAATATATTTATTTTTTTTTCCAAATTATAAATAACTTTTTATTTTAATATGATAAAAAAATTGAATGTTCTATTTTCAACATATATATAGTCGTCAATGCTCATATGATGTATATATTGTTCACATGTGTTCCAATGCGTTCATAAAACAGTATCTATATACATTTAACATTTGATCAATATGTGTTCACAAACGAAACACTTTAATTATATATTATTGTGTTTACATGTGAAAGCTAATTACTTTAATGTTCATAAGTTCTAATAGATACAAATAAATATTTATAAGTGTTCTTGTATGTTCATATGTGAAAATCATGAACTAAGATTAGTTAATAAATTATATATGTATGTATGTATTCATAAGTTGTTTCATAATACAACACGACAAGGATTAAAAGATAATATAGTTTGTAGAGTCATGAATTTCCTATTTGTAAGGAAAATAAATTAATTAAATATATTATGAAAGTTCTTTTTTAATACATATAATTAATTTTTTAATTTATTTAACAAATAAATTAAATGACCGGATCATATTAGATATTATAAGTTATTCAGTTACTTTATTTGCAAGATCACGTAAGCAAAGTTTGAATGGTGTGGTATAGTGAGGGTGACGTGTCAAAAGGATAGACGTTAGATGAAGTAACCTATTTAAGAGGTCAAAGATATGGAAAGAAGACAGCTAAGAATAAAAAGTCAAAGCATCGTCGGCAATGACTCAGTACCTCGTCGGTTTCAGCCTCATCTAAATATTAGCCGTTAGTCCACGCAGGAGTCTAGTCATTCTACCTACACCCGCATCACTCTATCTTCCCCCTCCGTGTATCCCACCTTCCACCATTATCCCACTTCGTCACACCCACGCGCCACCCCTGAGACTGGCCTATACATACAAATCATGTGTATCTATCTATGAATTGTCGCATTTCCATATAGATACATGTGTATCTATCTATGAATTGGCGCGTTTCTATATAGATGGAAACAGATTTTGCTATAAATATAGTTTATTTCAGTTTGAGGACTCTAAACTTTTCCAAATAACAAGGAAGGACCTCTTTTCAAACACTATAAAGATCTACCCTCCATATCTGCATATCTCATCATCATTTCTCTTCGATTTCGCATTCATTTTGTCTTGAGACAATGACTGTTTCTTTCGAACAACCCGATTCCCGTAAGTTTTTGCTTCAATCTCCATGCATGCTTCTATGATAGGCATAACAGAAGCTATTGCCTTTGATTCTGTTGACATGTTGTTTTTGTTTGGGTTTAGAATCTCAGGTGGTGGATACCAAGAACCAATGTGAATTGGTGTTGGATGGAGGGTTTATGGTGCCTAATAACAGTGGTGGGTTTGATGCTCCAGATATTAATGCTTTTGGTCACACGTTTAGGTATGATTAAGCTATCTTTTTTATACCTTTGAATGAATGGAAGGAGCTTAACAAGGGTTCTTTTTCTAACAGAGATTATGAGATTGAGAGCGAACGACAGAAGCAAGTTGAAGAGTTCTACAAGATGAATCATATTAACCAGACATATGACTTTGTAAGAATCTTTTTGTTTTCTTCTGTGGTGTAAGATTATGTTGAGGTTCTTATAGTGGGTGTGTGGTGCAGGTGAAGAGGATGAGAGAAGAGTATAAGAAACTGGATAAGTTGGAGATGAGCATCTGGGAATGTTGTGAACTGTTAAATGAAGTTGTGGACGATAGTGATCCTGATTTGGATGAACCCCAAATTCAGCATTTGTTACAGACAGCTGAAGCCATTAGGAAAGACTATCCAAATGAAGATTGGTTGCACTTGACTGCCCTCATTCATGGTATATATATGCATGTCAATCTCATATACACAGGCATATATCTATGATGGATGATCATGTTTTTTATGATAATCTTTTTTATGGGTTGTGTAGACCTTGGGAAAGTTCTCCTCCTCCCAAAATTCGGAGAGCTTCCACAATGGGCGGTTGTGGGTGACACACACCCTCTTGGTTGTGCTTTCGACGAATCAATTGTTCACAACAAGGTATGTTTTTTAACATACCAACTATTAATCAATTTATATCTTTTGTTTTTATTTTACTAACACATTTAAGGGTTAATGTCTTTATGATGCAGTATTTCAAGGAAAACCCAGATAGTAACAATCCGGCTTATCAGACTAAGAACGGAATTTATCCACAAGGATGTGGACTAGACAATGTGATGATTTCATGGGGGCATGATGACTACATGTACTTGGTATGTTATCTGATAAAATTTTAAATAAAACGTACCTGTTGTTATTTTTAGCCTTTCAATGTAGGTCCCTGTGGGCACACAAGAAAGATGATGACAATCGATAAGTTCCGTATAATCTAAACTCAAATTTACACTCTAAATTTGCAGGTGGCCAAGGAAAATGGAACCACTCTACCTCAAGCAGGACTATTTATTGTTCGCTACCACTCTTTCTATCGTAAGCTGCTACACCCTTGTTGGTCCCAATTTAACCTGGAATGAGAATTTGGGCTTTGGGAATGGACTCGTTATATTATATAAAACTAAACAGTTTCTTTTATTTGTATTCGTTAAAACACACTCTTGGTTTATAGATTTGGACATTGAATCTTACCCTTGTGAATTTTTGCTTCCAATTGTGCCAGCATTGCATCGTGCCGGAGCCTATAAGCATTTGATGAATGAGGAGGATGTTGAGAACTTGAAATGGCTTCAAATCTTCAAGTAAAGCCTGCTAACTTGTTTATAGTCAAGTTAATATAAGCATAATAGTATGAAAACATTTAACTTAAAACATTTACGGTTTGCTTGCAGCAAGTATGACCTTTACAGTAAAAGCAAAGTCCGTGTTGATGTCGAAGAGGTCAAGCCCTACTATCTCTCTCTCATTGAAAAGGTCAGAAACCATATGATAAATTATATCGCAAAGAAATTCGCAAGAATGTTACGGTAACTATGTATGTTTAACTGCATTTTCTCTGTTTCTTTTTTCAGTATTTCCCGGAAAAGCTCAGATGGTGAAAGTTTGAACAAGATTTGAGGTGAATGAATTGAGAAAAAAGTCAGGGTCTATTGTGGGATTATTGATGTGGTTTATTTATTGAGTTTCATTCTCTAGTGTTGCTATGAGTTGATCGAAGGGTTGAAAAGGGTGTTCTTACTTTTCAGTTTCTTGAAACCCAGATGTTCTACAATACTAGGAGGATGCCATGAAAACTGCTTGGTCAAATTTATTGAATCGTTTATCATCTTACGGGTTCGCTTATATCGACAGTGTCATCACTTTAAGATTAGTGGTGCAATGCTCATGTTTTCTCATGTATGTATGCATCTCCTGATCTTTACATATAAAATTGAAAAATGAATGGGTTGGTAACTACAAGATGTTCTTGAATCATACAGTATTGGAACATTTGTGATCTTTTTTATATGCAATTCAAGCAATCAACTGAGAAGAGAACATAAGGAATTACCAAAATCAACAGCTCCCTGATAATTGAAGATACTGATAACCTCTGCTTAATCAAAGGAATTCAAGAGGTTCGTAATAAAAGGTTCAACATGGATGGCTGTTGTAATGATCTATAAACTGTTTGAGGCATTTCAACAAACAGATGGAGGGCTTCTATCTACATCAGGAAACAAATATATTCCAAATCTTCAGTCAATCTACAGTTCCATTTTCTATTTGCACCTTTTGTTACCCTTGCCTCCGGCCTGTATGCTGTTAGCATTCATCAAAGATTTGCCTCTCTTGTCCCGATTACGTGCCTCTTCCTCGATTCGAAGATGTTTTAGTAAATCATCCAAAGAATAATCTTCGGTTTTGTGCATCATTAGAAAAATCTTTCCAAGATGGATGCTTGGAAAATTTCAGGAATAGCAATAGAAAGCATCTTGAGTTTATTTACTAAAACTTGGAGCTCATGCACTTGTTCTAGAATCGATTTTTCATCAATCATTTGAAATCTCAAATACTGAGACACAAGATATTTGTTAGTGACATCTTCTTGTGACTTGTATTTAAATTTCAATGCCTTCCACAACTCTCTAGGGAAAGTAATCGGGGAACACAGATCATACAGACAATCTGACAAAACATTCTTTATATGTCCACAAGCAAGAGTTTCCTCTCCCTTGCGGATCATTCTCAGTTTTTCTAGATCAACAATTCTTTGAATATCCGGCTGTTGCCCTGCTTCAGGGACTGGATTTTTGGGAATAGGTGAGAGGCTTGGGTCCAGAACATAATAGAGTTTTACCACGATCAACATGAACTTGACTTTGTCTGCCCAACGAGTGTAACTTGACCCGTCAAACTTCTCGAGTTTCATCATATCTTGATTAAGAATTCGGTAGTTTCCGGTGTTCATTACGTTATAAAACCTTAAAGAATGTTGAAAAAAATATTCGAGTAAGATAGATTAAACAAAATAAAGTTTTAATCTTTATAAAAAAACTTTAAATCTTTAACGGACAAAATTAAATCTTTTAGCGTTCAGAACCCACAACAATTCAACAGAGTGTCAATTCACACATATTGAATCTATCATTCGCGATAGATTCAATGAAAGAAAGGAGTAGAAGCAACGTTGTTCACTTAGTGAATAGAATATTAAATACAATGCCGAAAATAAAAAACCAACCTGATTAAACTGTTGATTTGAATTATAATTTGCACGGTAAAACCTGTCCTTTAAGGTTTTATACGACCATTCTATTCACGCTGTGAGTCTGCTAGTCGCAAAGCCCCAGGATTTGATGCAGTATACGATTCGTTTATGAACAACGATCAAAAACGAAAATAGAGCATGGTAGATGCAGAATTCGGTAGAGAGAAAATAGGTTCGAAAGCAGCAATCGAAGGAAGGAAAGCACTGATTTTTTCGGTGGTGTTTAAGAGTTGGCTTCAACCCCGTTTATATACAGCCTACAACTTCTCCACGAAATCCTCAAAAAATCGTTGATCATGAGAGGATTTTTCTCATCTGATCATTATCTCAAAAACGTGGTTTAGACCAAGTCAAAAATAAAACCGAGTTTTATTTCAAAAAATCAGTTATTTATTTCCTTGTCCTCTCGACTTTGTACCAAAAAGATATTCGGAGCGAAGCTCCTTCTACTCCGATGCAGCGTGCGAAGTGCACTCGGCCTCAGCCACGCACGCACGGCCTCAGCCACGCACGCACGTGTGTGTTGGGCCTTCCACTCAAGACCCCCACCATGAGTCCACCAACTTGTTCAAAGCTCATTTCTAGAGAAAGCTTTATAAGCTTCTCTATAAATTATTTTCTACCAATATGGGATGGAAGACAAACTTCCAACCCACAAAATTTCCAACAAGTTATGTATAAGATAAAGTTACAATGGAAAACGGCTTGTAACTGAGTTTCAATTGACGAGTAGGTGATTTGATCAAAACGAAGATCTTGAACTACTCTAATCAGAAAATACGAAAGGTGCCGCAATTACTTTATTGGATGAACATAACCAGGGGAGGATTCATGTTGTTAGGGATGGGGTCCTGGCCCCCCAACAAAATTCAGTCCGCATAGCTTCTTCTTTTTTCTATTTACAGTTGTATGTTTATCTGATTGTCCCCCCTATAACCTAAACATGAAGGCCACTCACTCTCACCAACTCATGATTCCTTTGTGATTTTCCTTCTTCCACAGTCCTCACTCCACACAGACGCACATGGCACATCGATTCCTTTATTATTTATACTTGAAATTAACATGATAAACCATTGATTTTTTTTCTTGTTATTGCTATTGCTAGAAAAAATGAAAAGATTTTTTAAGGGGTTAGATTCGTAAATTGGGCCCCCTACAATATATTTTTCTGCATCCGCCACTGCATTGATGCACTCGATGCTGACCATCATGAGGATCATCAGAAGTACCAATTCTTCAGAGGCATTTCATCGAACACCTTGCGATGAGAATGGACCGAATTTGAATCATGATCAAACTAGCAGTTCAACAACTACTACCCATTTGAGCTCATGAATTTGATCTACAGTTGCCAAACAGAAGGAGAAAATCCAATATTGTTCCTCAAGAAATTGACCTCTTTCATGTGTAGCGTAAACAGCACCTTGGGATTTCACCTGGAATCCAATTCCAAATTGCAACACAGGAGAAGGAAACAGTGATTTGAATTGGCTTTCACAGTTAGTGGTGGACGCAAGTCGTGAAATTTTTAGAACTCAATCTAATTAAATCGGTTTGGAAAATTTCAATCCAACCCGTTCAAAATTATAATCCAACCCAACTCTTACAGATTAGAGCGGGTTGGATTGGGTTGACGGATTATTAAAATTCATAAGGTTGACAAATGAAATATAATAAATAATACTAAAAAAATACTCAACAAAGTCATTAGTTATTACAATCATCCAATAATATATCTAAATCCTCAAGTCTTAGAATCAAATTTCAAAAGTTTAAATGATAGCATCCGATTCAAATCCTCAAATCAAGTACGACCGTCTTGGACCTTCCCGACTCCGATGTTGCATTTTCCTTGAGTTTGTCTACAATTCAAAAAGAATATTAAACCATTTATTAAAAATTTACCTTCTTCAAGAAAGTCATAAGATAAATTTTCATCCAAAAATTCACTTATTTGGATCCCCTCATTATTCCCTTTCAACCAAATTTGTGTGCATACAAAGGCCTCCACCATTTTTGGACTCAAATAACTTCTAAAGAAGGATTCAGATGTTATGGTAGATATATGTATAGCAAGAACATCTCTAACTATAATAGACAAAATGCTATACCTATTAGTATTATTTTTCCACCAAAATACTACGTCAAATGATGGAGTCTTTGGATTGATAGAACCATCAAATGCCTTTTCAAATTTAAGAGCTGCATCCAACGTCATAAAAGTAGAATTCCATCGTGTAGGAACATCTAAAACCAACCATCCCTTGTAATCAACTTTTTCCTTCTCAACGCAAAATTTAAACTTCTGCAACCTTAAAGGAAATGAACAAATATATCTAACACAGTTATGAACTAAAGTAATTGAATTATGCATCTCTTTCAATCCCTTGTTTACAATTAGGTTTACCATATGAGCACCACTCTTAAATGCATGTACTCACCATTAAGAACAGATTCACTCCATGCATTAACTCTTCTTTTAACAAAAGCAATAGCTACATCATTTGCAGATGCATTATCAACAATGACAGTAAAAACATTCTCCATCCCCCACCCAAGAAAACAAGTTTTAATAACCTTACCAATTGTCTCACCCTTATGATTTGAAATCTGGCAAAAATTTATAACTCTTTTACGTAAACGCCGATTACTATCAATGTAATATGCAATGAGACACATAAAAGACATTTATGTGGAAGATGTCCAACAATCAGTTGTTAAACATATACTTCGTCCGACCTTTGTCAGCTCTTTCTTCAATTTAATCATCTCATCGCAAAACAACCGATAAACATCTCTAGCAACAGTCACTCTACTAGGAACACCAAATTTTGGTTACAACTCATGAACAAGTTCTCTAAATCCTTCATCCTCTACACCACTAAAAGGTTGCTCATCCTTAAGCACAAATTGGAGTATTGGTCCTATTGCACTTGACTTATACAATAGTTGGATTAAGTTTGAGCTATAAATTGGACAAGTGGTACATATATTTAATTTTTGGGTTGTACATTACTATATTAGACTAAAAAATATACATATTTTTGGCTGTAAATTATAATTTTGTAAATATCATATACATATATATTCATAATTTTATAAAAATAATATACATTAGTGCAGGTTGGCGGTTTGGGTTGGGTTGGGTTATGCTAACCCAATTTTAACTCTCTTAATTAGCGGTTTGACGATTTAGTGGTTTAACGGTTTGCCAATTGGTTTAATTGGGTTCAGTTAGACAGGTTTTATGGGTTTGAAGTTTTTTTGTACACCCCTACTCACAGTTATGTGATTATTTCCAATCGCCACTTCACAAAACAATTGAAAATATGGGGATAGGCTTTGACAATTTCACGCTTAGGGCCACTCTCCAATGTCAGTATGAGCCCAGTCCCAGACCAGGTCGGGCAGACTGGTCCTGGTATCGATCCAGTCTCAACGATTCCAGGCTTATCGGTCTCAGTCTCATCAGGCCAATCCCAAATCCGGTCACCGGCCTAACCTGGTTTTAAAAAAAATACTTTTACATAAAAATAATAAACATGTTTTTATAATTATGATTTTTGAAATTTAGTGTTATATACGATTTAAACAGTACATTTAAGTAGATAAAAATCTTGAAAAACTTGTTATATACTTATTATTTTTTTCAAATTCGAGCCTAAATATAACCGATCTCGAGCTAAACAGGGTCCTGAATTTTCACAAATGTATAACCGCTCATGAACCATCGGCCCAGACCAGGCCCGAATAAGCCAATTCTAGATGTAGTCCAAACAAACATTTATTTCTAACATTATCTATATAAAATCATTCATTCATTAATGCAATGTAAAATGTTATTTATTTACAACGTTTACAAGAATCTTGGTGATTATGGAACAAAATATCAATCGGATAAACCCGATAATCTTAAATGTTTTTAACTTTTAACCGGTTGTGAGTTCAAATATTGATATTGACGTTAACACGTACACATCTTTTAACTTATTTGTAGTTGTTTTCACGTGCAAGATGATCAACTTCTTAAAGAAAGGATATAAAAATATCGTTACAACATTTGATTCAACATGTTTTAGACAGTGAGATTCAATTAAAATTTTCAACTTCAGGAAATTGAAATCCATCGAATCGAGAAAGAATTGCATAGTTTTATTTTAGATAATGGTAAAAGAATTGGATGAAAGTAGCGTATACTAGAACCGTTTATAAAATCCTAAGCTGTTTACTTACAACTTAATGGCCTAGATGGCTTATTCACTCAGCCATACATGAGTGTTTCTTTATAGCTTAATCGTTAAGCCATTAAGCCAAAATAGTTATAGTACATAAGCAAGGATCCTTTACTTGTCGTCATTAAGCCACCTCAAACAAATTAATACCAGAAATCCCCCATATTTAATCCAACTCTCTCTTTGCCTCCCTCAAACCCACCAATCTCCTATCCCTAAAGACAGATAAATATGTCCAGACAGACAACTTAACTAATACAAGGTTATACAGGTTCAAGCTCATGTGCTTAAATCACTAGCATCCTTTTCATGCCTACACAAACACTTCCAAAAGAATCTTCAAGTCATTATTTTTCAATACCAAATTAAACCAGTAAATCCCAAGGGATAGAGAGGCTATTTCTGTAAAATACCTAGGCTTGCAAAACAAAAAGTAAAAGGAACAACCACTAGGGTGGTGTCTGATTGGTTTGACATTGACTCCAAAGGTCAAAAGTACCAGGAGGTCCCAGGTTCAAATCTAAGAAGGAATAAAAATCCCCTTGTGGCCACGGAGATTCAAATACGGTGACTCCGGGCTATTTGCAAAGCAGATGGTCACTCTGGGATTATTCGGCTCGCATAGCGGGTTGGATATCCAGGTTAATAAAAAAAAAGAGTAAAAGGAACACTCAAAATGCAAAATAATAGACCATTCTAATAACCTCTTGTTCAAATCAAAAGAAACACTCCTCATAGTTTAAAAAAGAAAGAAAAAAAAAGAAAAGTTTTATTTCATTACAAACAGAGATTGTATGGAAGACTTGTTAAGAAGCTTTGTCCATGAGTTGTATGGGTGCCAATATATTGGCCTTGCTTGTTTCAACAATACACCCATTCATCACCATCTCCTCTAGCATAAAATGAGCTTTCTCCAAGTGAAACATTATGTCCAACTCACACTTCAAATCCCAAAAAATTTAACCATTAGAATCCGCAAATACGTAATTTTATCTTTTATCAAAGAAAAGCACATGTGTATGCATAAAAAGAGGACATACCACGTTGCCAAAATGTCGGTCCATGGTTTCAACCAAGAGATGTATGAATTCCAAGATTGCAAGCTCATTCTGCCCCAAAATAAAATAAAATGGAAAACTGTTGGTCGATACAGAATACAAGATTTGCAAAACCAAGAAATGCAATTTATATATACTGGGCACATAATGGTAAAAGTATGGGCACGACTTACTTCTTCATTGTCGACTCCAACCAGAAAGAACAATGAAGCATACCGTCTATACACAATTTTGTAGGTCCGATGCTCCACAAATGAACACTGTTATCGAGCAAATATAAGTCATCAACTTGATATTGAAAAAATAATGGAAGTAATACTACACTATAACTGAAAGTTGACAGAGGTAAATCAGTTTCGAGAGAAAGCTCCAACTTTTGTTATTTAGGGTGATTTTGGTATGCAAGGCAAGACAGACCAAAAATTTGTTGTCCCATGTTTGGCGCAACATTTGACTTTGGACATGACAAAAGACCAAGTGGGACAAAAATGCGTGTTTTTTGTCATACCAAAATACTTGGAACAAAAATCAAGGAGTTGGGACGAGATTGATAGATTACTAAACTAATCATTTCAAATTAAAGCCCTAAATTTTTTCACAATTCTTTCACCCACTTACCTCACTCTCGCCTGTCCAGTTCTGTCCACGTAGGAAAAGAACCCTTGGTGGTTAAAAAAAAGCATAACGCACAATAGAGAAGAAGAAAAACGGCATAAGGGGTAATGCAAAATAAGTAGTCACAAAGCTAGGACAACCCATAAAGCAAGCTCAATTTTTTTAAGACAAGTCCATAGGAATCTCTAGGTCATAGGGAAACTATAGTAGAAGTTATTACAAGTGTACGAGTATGAGGCATGCCAGTTGGGATTCTAATATTCTATAATCAATACACCTCCATAAGTGAAGCAATAAAACCAAATCAAACAAAATGAAGCTGGTAGATCCCACTTGAAAGTAGGTGAGGATGTATGTAGACACGCCATTTACCCCAAAGGGTAGTGGTCGTGCCCGTGAAGAGCCCACCTAGTGCAGAAGTGTGAATGAAAAGAAAAGGAAAGAAGAATGGTTGAATGGTTGTCAAAAGGATGAGGCAAAAGGATCTAACTTTGGCCGCATGCTTGGGATTCTTTGGGTGAAGAAGCTACTAATGATGATGAATGGTTGTCAAAAGGTTGCAAAGACTTTCCTAACAGGATCAGGCGAAAGACTTGGATCTTTTTTTTAAGTATATAATATTTATATACTGCAAAGACCCACACGCACTCCTAACCTTTGGTGAGGTTTGAACCCTTGACCTCTAACAAAGCTAGCATTAACCAATAACCCATACACCGTTGGGCCAATGCCCTTGGTAGACTTGGATCTTCATCTTCTTGAGGCTGATTAGCATGCACATGGCAAAGACACACGTTATGTGTGTGTCTTTCTGGATTGCCTCAAACGTATCTTTACATCAGCAAATTTAGCATTATCAACATCATGTTCATGTGATCATGTCTGTAATCCATCCTAACATGTCAGCAATCCTATTGCATATTGATTATAATTGGGTACCCGAGAAGGGGTCTCTAAGAGGCTGTTTGGTTGGTTTTCCATTAGATCCTGTATGGATAAAGTTGTCTATGTGGATTAATATGTCGGAAGGTTTTTGTTTAGAAAGGTTTTCTTATAGATGGAATAAGCGTGTTGTTTGATTGGGAGAGGCAAGTTTGGAAAACTAGGCTTCCCTGGATGCTAAGCCATTTTCTATACCGCTGAACCACTACCAAGTATAGCTCACCGAATAAGCTGTTAATTCCATTAAGATCATTAAGCTGCTAACAAACAGGCCCCATGCCCTAAGACCATTAACATAAGTTATTGAAAAAGTCGGAAGCTTATAGTTCTAAATTACTTCGATCATCCAACAAAGAAATTCAATTTCGCGCATAGATCCATTCTGATCTAACTAATTCATGTAATCTAAGACCTATAATCGAACAATTGATTGATTGAATATGATGCATGGATCCTTTCCGAGCTAATAAATCAACAGGATTCCAAATAAGTTTGCAAACAGTGGGATGGAAAAATGCTATATTTACAGAGAGAAATTAGCATAAAGAAGGAAGACCTGTTGTTCGTTACGAGCGAGGCATTTGCGAACAATTTCACCCTCAAGAGCTCGTCGTTCTTCTAGGGTTAGGTATTCGTAGTATTGGGCAAGACGGGTCTGGCCTTGTTTGTTCACCATCAGCACGAATCTAATCCCCATTCTCAAAATCTCCGATCAATTCTTCTCGGCGATCATCTATTAGAAGCGATCGGTTGTTGTTCTGGAGATCCGTGCGTAGTTAGATTAGGGGGTTTTCCGCTTTCATTCAATATATTAGGGGTGACAAGGAATTCATCAAAATTATACAGAATAGTAATAATGTATATAAAGTTGGGTAAGAATGGTTCAGATCTATCATGGTAACTTTTTTTCCCACATGATTATTCGTTCATATATATATTATATATATATATATATATAGGATTAGAGTTCACGTAAGACCAGACTGTTTTCTTGAGACTCGTGATACCATTTTTTTACATTTGAAACTTCACAGCAAAACATTGTGAAGGTAACCTTCACAGTATTTTTGTTGTGAATGTTCGAATTTTTTTTACCTTCATAATTTTTTGCTATGAAGTTTCAAGTGTAAAAATATGGTCTCACGGATCTCATGAAAACAGGCTCGTCTCACGTGAGCACAACTGCATATATAATACAGAGAGAGAGAGAATGAATTGGGTTGTGGTGAGAATGAAAATAGTCGACTTCATCTCTTGACTCGCCTACATTTTGACGAATGATTTCACTTTGAGCAACCCAACAGCCATGCATCGTTTGGTACATTCTTTTGTTAGTTAGATATCTCTTGGTATATTTTTTTAGAGACAATATCAACAACTTTTGGAATATTTTGTAAAACCGATGACATTTTGATAACGTATCCCTTTAGATACGACTTTTGTATGCACCTGTGTATTAGTTATGCTCTCAAATGTCCGATGGAGATGGTATACCATGTAGACACACCAAGAAAAATATGGTATACAAAGTAGTTGTTTTAGTTTTATATGTGTAACGATTTTATTCTGTATTAGTGTTAGTGTCCAACAAAAAATATAAATGGGGTGTAGCCAAGTGGTAAGGCAACAGGGTTTCGTTCCGCTATTCAGAGGTTCAAATCCTTTAGTCCCATAGCATATCCATTGTATCCAAATACATCTGTTTTGTTCAACACGATTATGTTTCAAGGCCTAATATTGAATACAATGTGATTCTTCTTTCTTTTCTGATTTTGAAATGATTTTTTTTGTAGTCATGTCTCAGTTTTTCATGAACTCAACTAAATCGAGTTCAAAGGACATACCATGCAAGGAAACGTTATTTTTGCTGATTCGAGCTGAAGGGTGATAATAAGTGGGTCTTCCTCTTCAGGCAACATGTTCATAGTTAGCGCATTCACACTAATAAAATATTCTCAAAACTCTTAATTGATACGACATACTATTTTTTTCCATTCATTTCTTTTCAGGATCAGTCATGGTCTTCCAAACTTTACCGATGGTATGGACGAATCTTTCGTTTCATCTAAATGTGTAAAAAGATCATAGACGTAATCGTTCAAACTATAAAATTTGTTTGTTTTTCTCATGATTTTACCCCACAGGGTTAATTTATTATGTTTTAGTAGGTGCAAAAGATTTATCTGTTAAAAAAGATGTCAGATAATATAATCGCTTAAAATATGAACATCTGTTAGGTCTTTTCGGCCTTTTCACTATATAAAATTATTTATTCATTCGATACGAGACAACTAGACCAAACATAATTTTTCCGTGTCATACCTTTCAGTTAAAGATGGTTTTTTGATAGTTTCAGGGGAATGAAAACAAGTATGATGATAAACGAAAATGTTCGGGAAAAAAAAAACTATTCCTCCTCTTTGCTAAGATATGAATGATTACCAATTCTTTTAACCAAATACATTATTTAGGTATCGGATAAGCGTTTACCGACAAGAGACATCACCCTTACTCACCTTACCGTATAACATTCTCGGTCATAAAAATGAATGGATTATTGATAAGCGTCTTGAACCCGGTAAGTGCTTCCCTCATTTATTGTGTACAACTCTCGATCTTTGTTATATCTCTTACCAGATAAGATTGTCGGTCTTTTTCATGCTCAATCGATAAGATAAATGATATCAATAAGTGTTTACTGATAAGTATTTAATAAACGGTACCTTATTTTCATTACCAAACACCCCTAAATTCTTATGATCCGGAATGAAATTTGTTTATCATAATTTATTTATTTATCTTATGTATGAATTTAAAGTTTGTCAGATTAAATTGAAGAAAAAATAAATTTGATCATTTAAGAAAATACTTTTTAACTTACATCAACAATTTTTACCCTTTTGTTGCATGGGAATGGAGCATGAACCCATATATGCATCACAGCTCCCGAAAAATATGATCACATCTCCATCTTTGTCCTTAATGGAGAATTGGGAGTTTTTTTCTTATTTATGTAAGATATTTTAAATCAAATACATTAAACATTACATTCGGTCCAAAATGGTTCATATTCATATCTCACATATTTCCAAAGTTTTTGCTTTTATAGTATTAAATATTCATATACTAACAAAATCACAACATAAGTAATTGTTTGATCAAAACGTTTTCGGCTCTCCATGTTTTTTTATCTAAAAAGTAAAACAATATAGGAACAAAATATATTAGAAAGAAAGTCAAAATCTCTTCCTAAATCTAATTCTTTATAAATAATATATTTAATAATAAATATATAATATACTTAATATATGGGGACAGGGTGAGGATCACGTTACCCTACCCGGCCCCGTCCCCAATTTTGCAGGGAATCCCCTGACCCCGTCGGAGCAAGTACACCGGGTTCCCCAATGGGACATGTCTCATTCTCATGCCTAGGATCCACCAAGATGAGTGCCAAAAGACTGGTTAGCTCAACTGACAATAAGGTTTGAGCCTTTTGGAATTCTCTTAAAAGTCGTAGGTTTGAGTCCAGGCCACTGAGGATTTTCCTGGCTGTTCTTCATAACCCCTAGGGATCAATCGAAGTATGTGCAAGCTAGCCCGAACACCAGTGGTTTTAAAAAGGAAAAAAAAGAGTGCCAAAAACCAAACATTCATATCAGCATGGAAGATACGATTCAGTTTCCTTCCCTTATTATAAAGCAATTACAAGAAACACACTTCTCATCATCCAGAGATCATCAAAATCTGCAATGGATGTCTCTTTTATACCAACTATATAATTACCATTTTTATAAATATATATACTTGACTTACTTATTTCAATTATCGCATCCCGGCCATTAGCAAACAATCCTTTTCACGTTCACCGAACCATTTTCCGTCACTTGGTCATCTAGCAATTGGGTCGGTGGCGCTTCCTCCATGATCGACTCGATGATATCTTTTGTACTCAAAAAACTCGGCTGGTTCGTTGAAGATAACATCCGAGCCCACATTCTATCCGTTATCACAACCTTGTTTTGCTTCTCCGTGATTCTCTGCAAAAACAAAAAAATAAACCCATACCCATGTTGTATTATCTTTCTTTTTCGAGAATGGAATCGTGTTTCAGGGTTATAATTGTAATTTCAACTTACTGAAAATGGTATGTAACACTCTCTGCCATGGACAGGGCCGACGGTGAAGCCGGTGTATCCAGCCATGGCTCCATGAACAGCACTTTGAGCTAGAAGAGTACTGTAGACGTTATCTGATGCATTGCTTGGAACAGCTCGAATCATGTACGTAGGATCTGTCAAAGATACCAACCATCGCGTTTCTTAAATATAACGTTTCTCGATTTAATCATCAAATCATAGAGGTAAAATGTCAGATATACCCTTCATTACCTATGTATTTCAGGTTGATCTCCATTTCTGTTTGTTTCTTGAAATGACCCTGTTTATAAGAATCAATATTAGACTCATTTCATACGAAGATAACAACCACGAAAATTGTAACACCTCAAAGCCCACGCAACAGGTTGTCTCAGTAACTTCTAATCCAACTTAAGGCCATGGTGTGGAAGTTATTGGTAGTTCACAAGTCGAGGCTTATAAGAAGCTCACAAATTTCTATCCATATGGGACGAGCAACCCTCAGCGGTGCTAAGGAGATTTGAACCGGCTACCTATGGGGAGGATCCCCAAGGCTTACGATCGGTGTCAGCTATGTGGGTTGTAAGTTATGCATCTATAGTTGTACTTGGGTTTCTTACCTTGATCTTTTGAGATAACCACCAGCCAACGTCATCCAAAACCTTGTTTCCGGAGGCATCCTTATTGCTGTTAGTTCGTAAGCTCTCGGCAACAAGATCTTGGCCTGCACCTTCTGCTACCACGATTACCATATGCCCGTTTTCTTTTATTCTTTTCTCTATGTATTCAAAAAGACCCCCTGGTCCTTCCAGATAGAAAGGTGACTCAGGAATCAAACAACAATCAACATCTCGGCTTGCAAGAGTCGCATACATCGCAATAAACCCTGAAAAATATTTCAAATAAAAATCTTAGGAAGAACAAACTTAAACCAAAAGCAGTAATCTTTGCGTTTGCTAAACCAAACCAAACCAAACCAAACGAACCCAGTATGTCCCAAATGGTTGTTTCCCTGAGGACCTCATTAGAAGCCAAATGTGTTTGTATGTTATGCAAGGCACCAATGGTGCGTTTAATTTCGGGATCTACTTTTTTCAGTGTCATGAGTTACTATGGACAAATGCAAATTACAGAAAAGAAAACCTCAGATTGTGGCTCTTTTCTGTTTTTCTGAGAAAATCAGACGATATCTTACTTAAAATTATACCTAAAGACGAGAAAACTGACGGAATATCATAAAAAACTTACCGCTATTACGTCCCATTAGCTTAACAAGCCCAATACAGTTCTCATTACTCTCTGCCTCAACATGTGCTGCGTTAATAGCACGCTGAGCCTCCTCAACAGCAGTATCAAAGCCAAATGATTTATCAATAACCTGTAAAACGAGATAAAAGTAGGAAGTTTAATTATCAAAGCTAACTGTAACAGGAGTAGAGGTCTAAAACCAGCAACAATCCTGCGTTAAATCTAAGTACCGGAATGTCATTATCAATAGTTTTTGGGATCCCGACAACTGCAACTTTAAGACCCCGCCTTCTAACTTCCTGCACAGATACGAGATGTTTATACTTATCGTCACTAAAAGAAGTAATTATGTTTCAATCTTGACAATTATATGAAAGCACACCTCATAGATAGCAGACGCCCCTTTTTGTGTTCCATCTCCTCCTATTATATATACCTAATATACACAAAACCATCATGGTTTATAGATATATCACATAAATAATGTAAAGTTTACTCCTTTTCTACCAGAATATAGGGTTTTTATATTTAACCTGATTGATTCCCCGATCTTCGATACTATTGACTATCTTTTTGTTATCATAGCCACCTCGTGATGTCCCAATTATAGTGCCACCCCGTTTATGAATTCCATTAGCAACTTTTGGTGTTAAAGGTATTGTATTTCGAGAGTAGAAACCCCTGTATCCTCCCTGCATATCCATTGGCATACTGTATAAGATCATACCCACAACTTTTTTCATATAAAGGAAAATGACGGAAATAAAAATTTTCACTTACTTCAATCCCTTCAATTCTAGTAACACCATACATATCATGTAAACTACCAACTATTTCTCTAATCACAGTGTTGAGACCGGGGCATAGACCTCCACATGTCACAATACAAGCATGAACCTCATCTGGCTTAAAGTACACCTGAAAAACAAGAGGATAGCATCATTTGTGTAACACAGATGCGTTGCTAACTGGTACCATATATTCTTTTTTTTTTGGGTAACCATGTGTGTCCAGGCCAGCTCCGGCGCACCTCGACCAATCCCATGGGGACTTGAAGATAACAGCCAGAAAAATCTCCAGTGGCCCTGAGGAGACTTGAATGGGAAACCACGGGTAACAGCCCCAAGGCCTGGCTTTTATTTGCCATTTGAGCTGACTACCTGACCCTCAAGGTCAGTTGGTAAGAGCATCTCCAACAGATTCTCCGAGATTTCTCCAAAATAGAGAATCAAAACTCAAAATCTCCTTAAAAAATTGCATTCAAATCCCACATATTCTCTATTCTGGAGATTACAACATTAATTATATTATCAAAATATTTTATGCATGTAATAAAATATTAATCATCTCTCGTAAACATTTAACATCAAGGTTTCTTGTTGGTGAGAATATAATTAAAAAGTATTTCTCTCTCACGGAGATCATTTTTGGGGAGTTCTCCAAATTTGGAGCACTTTACATTCTCTCTCATGCTTTCTCTATTTTGGAGAATCTGTTGGAGCAAAAGTTTAGCCAAAATCTCCATTTTCTCCATTTTGGAGAATATGTTGGAGATGCTCTAACATTATATATAAGAGATAATGTTGTACTTGTTGATATCATCATGCCCAAAACTCATGCCTATGTTATGTGAAAGACTTTTACCTTTTGGCGAGGTCCAGCACGTCGAAAATGTGTGCCTCTAGGACTATTGACATGAACAACAATCTAAGGAAAAGAACAGTAAATGACATAAGAACATATTATTAGGATTAGTAATCACAAAAAAAAGAACAAATAGTAAATCACTGGAAACAAAAAATATTAATCGCGATATTCGCGTGTTTCGACAAGCTACATTCACAGATCATTAGAATTTCATTAAATTTTACTAATCATTACAGGGAAAGTGGGACACAACTCCTTTTTAGGAATATAAAATCAAGAATCAACTCAGGTGAGACCATACCTCACATGCTAAACCATTCAAGAATCAAATATCAAAAGGTAAAATAGCAAATTGCTGACCTGCTGAGCAACGGTATCATCCATATCGACAAAATACTGCCTGAGAAAGCACAAGAACAAGTTTTTTTAAGAATCCACGCTACGCCAAATTTAAATTTAGAAAAAGACAGAAAGAATATTCTTAAGCGTGCTCTGATTATCAACTTACTTAACAACCGCATATGCAGGATTATCTTGCAGTGGATTAGGATAAGTCTGCAACAAATCATACACATAAATATCAACAAGATACCCATATTACCATTTCACACACGTATACTTCTAAAGGTACAAATCTTCTTCTCATAAGCACGATCAGATTCAAGTCTTCAGACTCAAATCTAATCATGCTTACCAAAAGAAGAGATATATAAGCGTTAATTGTACAGACCAATAATCAAATACAAACCCCATAAACGTTCCAAACCCATACGAACCAATCCAAGAAATTTAATTAGTTTGATTTCAAGTTACGGTTCATATTTCTTCATATGTGTGAGTGTCATATATAACCGTACTTTTTGTGTTTTCTTCCACAAGCAAAGCAGTCGTGAACAATTCACATATGAAACAACATTGCATGTTACGAGGATTGGTTTGTAAGTTTGTAACATTTATTGGGTTTGTATTTGATTTTCCCTCTAATTGTATACGTATGTGTGTTTATATTTGCTAAAATGCAACAAAAAGAAAATAAAATTTGAAGTATGCCTAACTGTATCCGTGGTACTTCTACTTTTGTTGCATGCTTACCAACCATTAAAAAAATTGTCTAAATATCCTAACTAGGGACATATTAGGTATTTGTTTTTGCAGTTTAACAAGTATATCATTCATGAATCTAGTCATCAACTTCAAACTCATCTCCCCTTGCCCCAATAAATTATGATCAAGAATAAATTAATGAAAACTATATAATAATCAGAAGAACAATAAATAAATACAATAATTGACTACTCTTCTCGTCAGTCATCACATAGAGCATGATTACGATTAAAAGAAACTGAAAGAAAAATTAATTACAGGAAGGAATCAAAACTCCCAAAAAGTATCTCAAACTAATTTGCCCAAAACAAATTAGCAGTTGCAATAAATTTAATGAAATCTAATGAAGAGCATAATAAAAATCATGTCTGTGTGTGAAGAGAAAGGGATAGAATAGAACATACTGGAAGATCAGGGATGTAATCAGTCAAATGAGGAACATCTTCAAGGACGTATCCATGGTCGCCGGTGATAACCTTCGGTTCAGAAAAAGCGGTAGCCTTCGGTGGACCCATAATCGAGCTCCGAGGCGAAAAATTACTGTTAGCTTTTCTCCTGTTAGGGCTATCCGACTTCCGATTCCTATTATTATCACTGCTTGATTTCAAAGCGTTGATTGACGAATTGTTACACACAGAATGCATTGAACCACAAACCTTATATTTTAGCTATCCAACAACATGAAATCACACACCGCATCTCTATATACGATTCGAAGTGAGAATCGATCAGAAAACAAATAACAAGCAGATGGAACACCAGATTAGACTAAAACTAAGTTTGATCTTTCTCAAATCTTTGAACTTTGACTTTGAATCAATTTCTTGCGTGTGTTCTGGATGCAGAGAAACATGTGGCCGGCGTCTGGTTTGACCGGAAAAAGAAATTTTACGACGAATCGGAGAGATTTTGTGAACGGTTTTGTAGAAATTCTGGGGGAAGAAGCACAAATATAGAGAATGAACTCAACAATGGCAGTTGAGGTCCTCAAGTATTCGCGAATATCGATTTTGTATAAATTGCTAAAAAGTCCTTCACTTTAAATATTGTTCTTTTTAGCATCTTAACTTTTCTCTTATTCCAAGTTGTCCACGGATTAACTTTTCTTTATCATTCAAGTGATTTTTTTCTATTAACCTGGATATCCAACCCGTTATTAAGAGTGGTAATGGGTCAGGTTGGGTTGGATTTGGGTTCAATCTATTTATTAGACAGGTTGAAAATCTCAATCCAACTCGACTCATTTAATTAAATGAGTTGAGATTTTTCAATCCAACCCAACCTGGTACCTAAATGGGTTGATATGTTTACGACTTTCTTAACCCAACATGTTAAATAAATTGGTTGACCCATTTAATTTTTAAAATTTTAAATAAGAAAAAGAACTATATTATTTAATTTTTTTGAGTAAAAGACAACACAACCACAAATATAAACAAATTGTTCAAAATAAATTGGACTTTCATCTCACAATGATAAGATTTTAAATTAAGAATAAAACGAAATAAAAAATTAGAATACTAGATATAATATTAAAAAAAATTATATAATATTTTAAATGGGTTGGAAACGGGTTTAAAATATGTCGAAAAATTCAACTCAATCCAACTCATTTATTTAAATGAGTTAGGTAGGCTGACCCATTTGTTTAAATAGATTGAAAATCTCAACTCAACCTGCTAATTCTGGGTTGGGTTAGCGGGTTGGATCAGTTTTTGTCATCCTTTCCCTTTATGTGAACCGATTAATCTTAGAACGATCATCTACTTTACGGGTATCCCGGAGTCACTGTATTTAAACATCCGTGACAACAAGGAATTTTTTATTTCTCCTTGGATTTGAATCTGATATTTTTTTTATTTAAACAATTATTTTATAATAATTATTGGTGTTTAAAAAAAGATAATTACGAATTGATGAGTTTTGGTGCTTTTTTCAAAATACATGGGTTTATTTATGATGAGTTAAGAAGTTAAGGGATAGTAAGTGAATAAAACCAAAGTTCAGGGTCTTCAGGGTAAGAGATATCCATAGAAATAATCGAAGGTTTGTATATCTATAACTATAGATACAAATCCATGTGGTTAAATTTTCATACTTTCGTTACATATCATTACTTTGTTTAATATTTGTTTATTTATTTATTAATGGGAAAAATATGGAGTTTTGTATAAATGGTTAATATTTTTTAATAAAATAGTATTAAAAATTAAGGTAAAATAGGAACAAATTTATTTGTCAAGTTTAAAATATAACGCTTGCAATTATAAGATATAAGAATTAAAAAGTATGTAAAAAGACGAGATTTTTCTTTTAGATCTGAAAACACGTTGTAACGATGTAGAATCTGCTTTGTTTCAATAGATTGTAACGATTTAAACTTTGTTTATTTTTTATGTAAACAAACATTACTTTATATTGTTTTTATAACAAAAAATTTAGCGGTTTAGAGTTTGACTGAAATAATAATTGTTATATAGTTACAGATCTGTTGTAATTATCTGTTATTTTATTAAAAGGAAATAAGTAAATTGATGGAATTGGAATGACAAATTTTTTTGACTAAATTTCAATTCTTTTGTTTGGTTCATTTTTTGAATTGGATGGAATCATTCATATTCCACAAATTAATGAATTCATCGTTATGTGGCATAATGGAAGGAATTAAATTTTATCACTACACACCACGACTATGCTACTATTGTTTGTCATGCCCCACCCCTAACCCCAGTACTCCACACACCACTATTGTCGCATTTACAACAACCACTCACCTCCACCCCACCCCTACCCCAATCTACCACTAAACGCCACGTCACTATTGTTGTCGTCATACCCACCTAACTTCAGGCCCCAGCCACCCGACCACTATCCCACCACTATATATATATATATATATATATATATTCAAACGAGAACCCATGTGATCTACAAGAATGTGAGAACAACCCAATAAACTCAAACTTTTTTAATTAATAAATTAACTTATATTAAATATAAATAAATTAATAAGGGCAATGATGTAATTAAGTAATTTTTATAATTTTTATTTTATTTTAATTAATTATAATTATCCATTTTTCTCATGGATTGATCACGTTCGTTTCCACTATCTTTTCTTTCCTTGTAATAATTGTGTGATTGTGTAACCATAACCTATCGAAACCATGATCAATCGAGTGTAACCATAACCTATTGAAACCATGAGTAATCGTTGTGATAAATATGTGATTGTATAACTTTAGCCGATCGAAACCATGATCGAATTGAGTGCGCAAGTGATGTGATAATAGTAATATCACATGATTATCACACCCATATCACACCAAATCGTTTAGTGGATTTCGCCCGTAATCGTTGTTATAAATATGTGATTGTCTAATCCTAACCTATCGAAACCATGAGTAAAGTTGCGATAAATGTGTGATTGTCTAACCCTAATCGACCGAAACCATGATCAAATCGAGTGCGCTGTTATGACAGTGATATCACATCCATATCACACCAAATCGGTAGTCGATTTCCTAAGTTAACCTTAACTGAGCGGAATTCTTGTGATAATTGTGTGATAATCGCATGATTATCACACCCAAATCATATTAAATCGTGTTGAAATAAGTGATAACCATAATAGCCCATTATGTTATCCAGATTATTTGGTTTAGTGTGATCGTGTTTTTAAAATTTTATCACTTTAAATTTCAATACTACCCTTTTGCCTCTCAATTTTTTTTGATTTGTTTTAATTTCATTTTTAATTTAAAAAATCTTTTAATTTTTATTGTTATCAAAATATGAAGTTAATAGATTTAGGGATTCTCGTTTGAATCCTTCCCTACATATATATGATCCTTTCTATGGTAAAAAAGTATTTCTTATGGTGCAAATTTTTCGGAATCTTCTGGAGATTATATAGTATATTCCACTTTATTTTTATTCCACTTCTTTTTCCACCTTATTCCATGCCACTTTTTATTTATACATTAAATGAAATTATAAATAATTAAATAAATAAATATATCATATAATTATCTCATTCTTATTTAAGTATAACAATACCATTCTTTATTAATTAATTAGAAGGGTATTCACGTAATGCAACAAGATATATCTCGATTTCAATGTTTCATTTTATTTCTTTGGTATCTGTCGATGTTAAAATACAAATTTATGTGGTTTTGAGAAAGCAATAATGTTTTTTTGATAAAATATAAATTTGAATATATCATAAAAACTAAAAATATATATAAAAGTTCTCTTTTTTTTTTTTGTATAATTTATTGAATTCAATTTTTTTATTATAACTTAATTTAGGTTTAATGACGAAATAATTTATTTTTTGTTTAATAATATAATTTTTTATAATGATAATAACTAAGTTATCTGTGAGAACTCAAAAATTATCCTAAATATTTCAAAATATGATGATTGATTTTTTAAATTCGAACTAATTCATATGATAGATTTTGAAATTACGAGTGATTTTAAGATATTAATTTTTCTTAACGGGAATGTTTTTTATGTTCAGGTGATTTCGTCTAAAGTGTTCTTTTTCTAGAATATGATTGATTTTTTTAAAATGTGACTTTTAGAGTGACGACGAATTTTGTAGACGGGATTAATTTTATATCACATTTGTCTGATGAATTTAAGTTTTTTAAGTGTATTTATTTATATCCTAACAATTCAAATTGAATTTTACTGTACGTTTAAGTTTTAACAGATTGCATTCATTTATTTTGTTGGTTTATGAGCGGCCATGTTGGGTTGGTAGAAAGCAGGGCGACACGATCTTATTGTTTAACAAATGTTATATATTTAGAGTAAGTGATAAATTGTGTCCATCAGGTATATATAGCTCAATTTGCATGTTGCAGTTTTTGGTCTGGTATTTTATAACGACATGGTCCCTAAACTTATGAAACTAACGTTTTTGGTAATTTATATAGACATATGACCCCTCGTGTTGAAATGAAGAACATTTGTCTTTTTATCTCCTTCTTGGGTCTTATTTTCAAAATTTCCGAGAGAACCCAATAGTACAATGTTGTCTAACCTCGTTTATCACCCTAAACTTAATTGTTGAAACTCGTTATGAATCAATAATGAAGTGTCGATGCAGGGACGCGCCACTGTTACAAAGATTATTGCTAGACAATCTTATATCTATAAATACCATATACCCAACTTAATATTATTATGTAGGGGAATTTTTTTTATGTAGCTACGAACATATAGGGCTGTAAATAAATACGAATGGAGGTTTGTTCATATTCATTCATTTAACCGAACCGAACAAACAAACGAACGGATATTAACGGCAAACGGACAAAATTTGTCGTGTTCTTTTTCGTTCGTTAAGAAAATGTACTTGTTTGTTTTTGTTTTTGTTCATTCATTAAGATGCTAAATGAACGAACATGAATGCACATAAACTAACAAATACAAAAATAAACAAAAAACAATCACCGTTAATGTTGTAATATACAAACCTATTTATATATATGTATATATTTTTACTATATTATAAAACATTAGACATAAACTCTTAAAAACTATCTTTTATACATGAAGTACTGCTTATTAATGCATATCACTTAAAAGTAAGATTACAAGAAAATTGTGTGTAAGTACAACTTATTAAGCTACATGTTTAAATTCGTGTAACTAACTGTAGATAAATATAATCAAATACAAAATAAAATTATTATTTTAAATACAAAATCTAAAATATAATTAAGATGGTTATTAAGCTTTAATAGAATACTCAGTTATTATCTTTATAAAAAATATATAATTAAACAAAAAATAAATTATCTCGTAATTAAACCTAAATTAAATTACAATAAAAAAAATTGAATTAAATAAATTAAACAAAAAAAAAAGTGAGAACTTTAATGTTTTTTTTTTTTTTAATTTTTATGATA